GAGCTAAATTTATAAATGCAATTGATGCGATTTATGATCTACAAAAGGCAAAAATTCGGATAAACGGCCAATTATCAGAGGAATTTGAGATTACAAAAGGAACGAGACAAGGATGTCCGTTATCCCCATTAATTTTTATAATGGCGTTGGAACCATTAATGATGAAAATAAGAGAAGATACAAATGTTAAAGGAGTAAAAATCGGGAAATACGAATATAAAATAAGAGCCTTTGCGGACGATTTACTGGGAATAGTGGAAGACCCAATTAATAATTTACAAAACTGGATTGAAAAAATACAAGAATTTGGGAAAGTGGCAGGCCTCAAAATAAATAAAGGGAAAACTAAAATACTAACTAAAAATATAGGGAAAGAAGACCAAGAAGAAATTACAAGGATTACAGGAATGGAAATAGTGAAAAAATTAAGGTACCTGGGGATTTGGTTGACAGCAAAGAATGGCCAACTATTGAAGAATAATTATGACTTGACTTGGAGCAAAATACAGAAAGATTTAAAGAAATGGAGCTTATTGAAACTATCTCTACTAGGAAGAATTGCGCTCATAAAAATGAATGTTTTACCTAAACTACTGTTTTTATTTCAAAATATACCCATAATCAAAAATCAAACAGAATTTATAAAATGGAAGAAAGAATTATTGAAATTTGTGTGGAATGGGAAAAGACCGAGAATTAAATATTTGAACTTAATTGATAAAAAAACACGAGGGGGACTGGGATTCCCAGATCTGAAAACATATCATGAGGCTAGTGCCCTTTTGTGGATAAGAGATTGGATGACATTAGAAAATGGAAAAGGCTTGAACTTAGAAGGACATGATCTACGTGTAGGCTGGCATGCCTACACGTGGTACGATCGAGAAAAAAAGGAAAAAAAATTTGGAAACCATTTTGTAAGAGCATCATTATTAAGAGTATGGATGAAATACAAGAATCATTTTTATACTAAAACGCCTCTATGGGTTTCACCGATATCAAAGAAGATTACTGGGTTGGAGAGCGTGGCCAACATATAGAGATATACTAGTGAGGAATACTATGGAAATTAAATCCTTCCAGCAAATGAAAGAAATAAATGGTAATTTGACGTGGTTACACTACTTGCAAATGAAAGAATATATCAAGCAAGACAATAAGATAGGCTTCGCCTGGGAAGAGTCAACTTGGGACAAAATATTAAAGACGAATAAGAAAGTAATTTCAATTATTTATAATACACTATTAACCTGGCTAACGGAGTGCGAGCAAGTGAAAACATGTATGATAAAATGGGCCGAAAACATAAGAAGACCTATTCAATTTAGGGAGTGGGAGCAGATGTGGAACAAAAAATTGAAATATGTATATGCAACAGATTTAAAAGAAAACTGGATAAAAATGTTCCACAGATGGTATACCACTCCTAAGAAATTATCTTTAATGAACAAGAATACTTCTGATAAATGTTGGAAGGGTTGTCATCAAACAGGTACTTTTTATCATATGTGGTGGACGTGTAAAGAAACAGAGAAGTATTGGACGAAAGTACATGAAGAACTACAAAAAAATTTGAAGAGAGTTTTTAAGAAGAAACCAGAATATTATCTATTGGGATTTACAGATTTGGAATTACAATTAGATGAGAATGAAGATAGACTATTTACCTATGCTACAACAGCGGCGAGAATATTATTGGCGAAGTTTTGGAAACAGGAAGATATCCCTACCACTGAAGAGTGGTTAGGGAAATTAAGAGAAATAAGAGAAATGGACGAATTAACTTTTTTCTTGAAAAAGAATACCGGGAACCCGATAAAGAGGACAGATTGGACTCTATATGAAAATTACGAAAAGGAAATAAATAAATAAGAGGAATACTATGAAGAGGATATAATGGAAATATCATTGAGGACACAACACCTGATGGAGAGATGGAAGTCAATTTTTATTTTATATTTTTTTCTCCTTTTTTTCTTTTTTTCTTTTTTTTCTTTTTTTTATTTTGTGTGGCTTTTATATTTTTGCATTTTTTTCTGGTGGACTTGGGGGTAGGGGGATGTATTTCTTACTTTTTTCCTACTTTCCTATCATCTTTTTTTAATATTCTCCCTCTTTCGATGTTATTTTTTAAAACCTTAATAAAAACTATTATAAAAAAAAAAAGAAATAAGTGCTAGATGAATAAGATAGATAAATAGATAGGATAGATAGATAGATAGATAGATAGATAGATAGATAGATAGATAGATAGATAGGGCTTTCCTGAGGTATAGTGTATCCCCACGTATTTTGTTATTATGTTTGTGTCTATATCTCTTATAAGGGGTTTGTTTAACTTCCGGTTTGCTAGTAACTTTGAATTACTGTGTTGCAAAATGATGCATGTCTAAGAAGTGGGTCATCAACATGAAATGTTTGTAAAATTCTGTTGCAGAGTATTTCATTTTTTGAAAAAAAAACCCGTTAATTTTGAGGAAAGATAATGAGGAGAACTTTAAATGTCATGGCATAAACTGAATGAGGAGATGATTAAATCTCAGAAGTCTCAGAACAGATGTGCGTGCGCGCAAGCATGCATGCACACACACACGCATGCACACACGCATGCACACACACATTCATACATACACCTGGGATGGAGAGGTCCTGGCCTGCAAAGAAAAAAAAGGATGGGGGCAAAAGAGCCCAGCAAGGGAACCATATGCAAGCCAACCAATAGGCATGCAGGTGGACAGTAAAGATGGCAGGAGAACGAGAAAGGCACCTAGGTATATTTCAAATGTATGCCAGGAAGAAAAAAACTTTTCTGATCCAAAAATTACCTGATACTGTGAACATGGTAGGAATGTTTTTTTTGGACCAAAGTGATGTCCGATGGGGCAACTCTGTACTTTCCATGAATATTTATGTCCATCTTAAAACGGTTGAGAATAATGCTAACAAGGTCCAACCAGGACATGATACATGTACTAGGATGGAATATAGCAGTCCTGTGGATTCAGCTTCAATCTAGTTTCATGGGAACATGATTCCATCTTACAATCTCTGCCCTATTGTCATGCTGAGTTTGTCCACTTCTGAAAATCAAACCATGACCAAGATAATATGGTTATTAGCATTAACAATTTTCCACTTTAAGCTGAGAAATAAAAAGAGCTTATTCTTTATGAATTTCATATCCATTAAACTCCCATATATTTGTGCTATCAAACCTCTGATGAATAGACAGAATAGAAAAATTCCAAGCTTCTGCAATAATGCCAGCTTCATTAGTATCTATTCTAAAGAAATCAAAAATTGTCCAGACACAATTGGAAGTATGCTTCTGCCCCTCTTTACACCAAATGGATATTATTCCTCTAATTGGCTGGAACTGAAATGTTCCTCTGAATAGCAGTTGGAAATGTATTCATTTGCAGAGCTACATTCCCTTACTTCCCACATCAAAAATTGTGAAAATATGAGATGTTAATGTACAGAGCTAGTTTAGAATGGTTCTCTTATCATATTTTTTAAAAAGCAAAAAATGAATTCAAGAGAAGGAGCAGAAACTTCTCAACCACAGTGTTTTACAAGGCCTATCACCTGGAACATGTGGATGTAACTCAAAAAATGACATCAAAAATTATCCTGACAGAGAATAAACTAAATAAGCTATGATTCTCCTGACCATTTTTGACAATAAATATGTACAAGAGAAAGAGACCACGAATTAAAGAAGTCTGTGTTTCAGAGTTTGTAGAATGAGCCCTAAAGAAGCATCCTCAATGTTTTCTTCCAGCTTAAAATGAAACATGGGATTTGACATGAGAAAAAGAAAGGGGTGATGCACACATGTTCAATATTTGAGCACTATATTTTACTAACATCAATGTGCCGCAAGTTGCATTCATGCCTCATTATTTTAAAATAATTGAATTAAAACACAATCACAAAAATTGCATCTTGCTATAATCATAGTTTGCCAGAAGGAGTACTCATGAAAAACCTTTTGATATATTCAAGGCAAACAAGATGGAATCATGGGAATACACTCATAGGCCATGCTTCTCCATATCTGCATAACCAGTGGTGGGCACACTTTTTAATGAGTAGTGAGACAAAAGTCCGATTACACATTTCTTTCATCTAATCAGAAGTTATGACTGATGAAGATTCTCAATCAAATGGAGAAGCACTACCCCAGGAGTTGGCATTTTATTGCCTGTGGTTGCAAGAGTCTCATAAGGATGATTTTGTGTCATGCTCCAGGTTCATGTGCTTATAGATTTGCATTTTTTTAAAAAATATATATATAAATGCTAGTATTCATAAAGTTGCCATGGGGAGGGGGCAGCTGAGCATTTGGGGTCACTTCATCCCCATGTTATTAGAAACTGCAAGAGTGCTTTCAGATAGCGCCAACATCCACGCCAAAGCAGGTTTAAGAAACCCATTTTGGCACAGATTTCCATCCCCACCCCAAAACCAAGTCTTTCCCGGGGGGGGGGGGGGGGGGGGTGTCGGGGGTCTAGATGCCATCCCAGTAAATCCTGTTTTGTTCCAAATGAATCCAATTTTACTGATTCAATGTCTCCAGTAAAACCAGGACAAGTCTTGCTTCAAAGGCCTGTCTGGATGGGGCCTAAGTGATCAGTCAGTCTTTCAAGGTTCAATGGATAAATGCAACCTCAAAATCCTGAGTTGTCCTGCTGGTAAACATGAAGATGAAAACTGCTGCTTTATGGGAGTGTTTCATGGGGGAATTCTTTGAGGGAGGCCATGAGTCCCGTTCCACTGTTTATATAGGGCAGCAAATGTGGATGCAGCATTCGCATTCATTGGCAACATCTGTTCATGTTTACATACTTGTGGGGGAGGGAGGGTGTACCTGTACCAACTATAAGGTGGTTGACCTGCTGGAATAGCTTGTGGCCCTTATATGGCATTTCAATTTATCAAATAGGATGAATCTTTTAAAATTGTTTTATTTTTATTCTATCATTCTTCCAATATAGGCACTCAAGGGTCCTGGAAAGATGAGACATGGTTTGTACCTTTAGAGAGAAAAACAACTCCCAAACGCAAGAGGCAGACACTTGAAAGAATGGGACACATACAAGCAGAATTATCAGGTATGATACTGTGATTCTAGAGCTACCTAATGGAGTTGGAACTTGCCTCAGTGTTTACAAGGCATGAAAACAGATACAGCAGCCACAGTCCTCATGTTCCCAAAAAACACAAATGGTCCTTTCTGCAAATACTCTGGATCATTGATTGGTGTGCAAATGCATCACGCAAAAGTATAAAAACAATATGAGGGTTAATGCTATTGGGAGTCTTTACAGTACTTCAGATTCAAACTATGAGCTTCCAGTGCCTTAGTTACCTCTTTGACTAGCATATTACTGTAGCTTTTGACTAATGATAAAAATGATTGCATGACATAGGTACTGTGAAACATCATATTTTATCTTTGTAATAAGAGATATAAAATGTCATAATGCAAAACTGCCTGTTTGAACACTCAATCTGTAATATAAACCAGATAAAGAAAGAGAGAACTAGCATGCGGGGGTGGGGGGAGTTAATGTGTATTGGAGAAATTCCCAGCTGTGGAATGAGGTCTCTGTGCCAAGAAAGACTGGCAGGCATTTCAGGTAGTTGGGAAATATTTGTCACCATTGAATGGTGAAAAAAAATCCCCTTCTGTTGAACTAAGCCCCAGTTCCGAGATATCAATAAAAAGTTTCCTATGGAGATATGAAATAGGCCCAATTGAAGTAATTGCCAGGTTAAGAGAATTTATTTGCTTCTTTCTTTCTTTCTTTCTTTCTTTCTTTCTTTCTTTCTTTCTTTCTTTCTTGTATACTTTAATCACCCAGCTTTCTCCTTTCTTTTTTGTAGTCACAGCTCAGAGAGTTTTGTTGCATGGGATTAACTGAAAGTATGTCGGGTATTCCCAAGGTTGCTACTAATAGGTAATCCATGGAATGGGTAATAACTTTGTTCAGTGCAGATAAATACAAGTACAGTTCTGGATGCCCTTTTAAATTTTGGTGGTGGTCAGATGGGTTAAAGACAGTCCGCCCTTTCAAGCATATATCAGCTTCATATGTTCATATTCTTATTAGCACAATGCTGTCTTGGCAGAGAAAGAAGTCCATACCACCCAGCAGTACTGAACCCCCTACTCCATCCCACCTTCAGCCCCCCCCCCCCAAATTCTCATGGTGGTTCGTGAAAAGGCCTTACTGGTGCATTATTTAAACTGTTATGTTTATTCATATCATGATCTGATCACCATACTCAATATATCCCATATGCATGGGGGTATTGGGGCAACGATACAAAAGGTTTGCTAGGATAGACCCTCTTTCACTCAGACTCAGCCCCCCCCCCAAATCGAAATCCTGGCTACGGGCCTGTTCAGATGCAATACTGAGTTGAGGTCTGAGATATAACAAATATTTATCCAGTTATGCAAATAGGATAAAATGTAACAGGATGCAGAAAGATGCAAATTGTTTCATTTGCCAATTGGAGGAATAACAAATACAGTACATCAGCGTTTCTCAACCTGGGGGTCGGGACCCCTGTGGGGGTCATGATGGGGTGTCAGAGGGGTCACCAAAGACCATCAGAAAACATAGTATTTTCTGTTGGTCATGGGGGTTCTGTGTGGAAAGTTTGGTCCAATTCTATCAGTGGGGTTCAGAATGCTATTTCATTGTGGGTGAACTATAAATCCCAACAACTACAACTCCCAAATGGCAAAGTCTATTTTCTCCAAACTCTACCAATGTTCACATTTGGTCATATTGAGTATTTGTGCAAAGTTTAATCCAGATCCATCATTTCTTGAGACCACAGTGTTCTCCGGATGTAGGTGAACTACAACTCCAAAAACTCAAGGTCAATGTCCACCAGACTTTCCCAGTATTTTCTGTTGGTCATGGGAATTCTGTGTGCCAAGTTTGATTCAATTCCATCATTGGTGGAATTCAGAATGCTCTCTGATTGTAGGTGAACTATAAATCCCAGCAACTCCACCATTTCCAAATGACAAAATCAATCACCCCAACCGCACCAGTATTCTGTTTGGTTGTMCATTTAAGTAATCAGATCTAACTTGCCACATAGTCACTGTTGAATGTTTTTATGTTGAATGTTTTTATATTGTGAAATGCTATTTTAAATTGTAAGTCACTCAGAGCACCTTAGTGGAGAGCGACTAATTAAGAAATAAAGTGAAGTGAAGTATTCAGATTTGGGCGTATCGGGTATTTGTGCCAAATTTGGTCCAGTGACTGAAAATACATCCTGCATATCAAATATTTACATTACGATTCATAACAGTAGCAAAATGACAGTAATGAAGTAGCAATGAAGATAACGTTATGGTTGGGGGTCACCACAACATGAGGACCTGTACTAAGGGGTCGCGGCATTAAGAAGGTTGAGAACCACTGCAYTACATGAACAGTAATGTTGTGATGAGCATCGCCCCCCAGAGTCGGACACGATTAGACTTAATGTCAAGGGGAAACCTTTACCTTTAATGTTTTACAGGTATAACTGGCCTCTGAAATATTGAATAGATATAGGGATAGAGGTGACATTTGGGTTTGTGGCAGGGTCTTCTCTAAAAGTTCAATTTGCTTCCGTCAGTTGTGTACATAACACTCATTTCATAATGCAGCAGAGCACTTTGAGTAAGTGAAGTGTGTGCATTATGCCAAGTAAATGCTAATGAAAAGTGGCCCCTGGCACCTGATCATGTGGATGTTGTAAATTAAAAGAATAAGGTAATCTTTTAATTTAATCTAATTAATAGGAAAAATAATGTCTTCAAAAATAGTATGGTATAATTTTTAATTAATTTAGAGTATATCATGCTTTCCTCCCCTGCAGGATCAAAAGCTGTTTGCAATTAAAAAGGGAAAAATACAGCTGAAATCAAGATTACAATATTAATAAATATCAATCATATTCACCATAAGCCAGAAAGAACTTGAAGGCACACAACAACAACAACAACAACAACAGCAACAGCAGCAGCAGCAGCAGCAGCAGCAGCAACGAGAAAGAGACAAAACAGAACAGAACAGAAAAGAACAGACAGTAATATGGACAAAAAAGGGCACAAAAGAAGACATGTAAGAATGCCTGGTTTCAGTGGTTTGGTAAATAACTGGTGGGATTCACTATTATTTATTGAACTAGCCAATGATCACTGGCATGAGACACATACCACCAACGTGGACTATGGACTGCCTTTATTAAAAACAAAATCAAAACCTGTACCATTGTTGCTAAAACTGTGTACTATTCTGACAACTGAGATCAAAGTCTTCAAAATTACTTTTAAAAGAAAATAATAGTCTCATGTAAGTAAAATCATCATAGTTACTTTAGGTTACTTGAAAACACACCTGAATGCGAAAAGCTGCTGACCTGTGGTACTGATCAATATTCTTGCCCTATTCTTCCCCTTGTCAGCTCAACACCTACAACAGAATATATTTTCAAGTATTTTAACTGTTGTAATGTTTTAAGTGGCTTTAGCAAATTTGTGCAGTTATTTCTATTTTTATATTTATATATTCTGGATATTTTAATTTGTATTTTTTATTGTTTTGCGTGTAATTGTTTTTAATTGTTTGTGTCTCAGTCACAGAGGTAAAGGCAGTATTAAAAGAAAAAGAAAACATCAACAACCATGTTAGAGTTAAACCACAAATAGTTTGCTCTTTGTTAACAATTGTAATGCAATTCAGTTGCACCTTCATTGTCAGGGAAATTGGTTACAAGTTAATTTTAACACAATTCTTTATTTGTAAATAGTTACTATCAGACTGTGAATAGGGAGTGTGCCCAAGATGTACTTCTTTGGAATCCATAAACATTATCTGGGAAGTTTAAGGTTGGAGTTGTACACATTTTCCCATCGTTCAGAAACATTTCCTCCTACACAAAAGGAAAAAGTCTACTTTCTGGTTAGCTAACCACAATAATATACTTATCTTCATGCATACTGGATTTTTCTGTACATGGATACTTGACATGTGAAGTTAAGAACTAAAGAGACAGAATGTACCTAATGATGTTCTTTTCTATTTGTGAGGCTACAATGGAAAACGTGACTCAGGGTTCTTACTTAAAGTACTTTGCACAGTTCATGTACTGCTTTAGACTATTATAGTGACTGAAATAATCCGATCAACAATGTATGCCTTGTAAAATTGTAAGCGTAGTAACAACGGATAAAAACAAACACCTGCCTTTTAATTTTGTATGCCTGTAGTGTACAGAAATCATTAAACTGTCACACACACCATTCTCATTTTAATGGTTTCACAGCTCTTTGTATCCCAATATATCTAATTTCCATAATGGATCTAATGGGTAATTTCAGTGGATGTCATCTCTCATACTTAGAGTGTGTACTGGCACAGCTATTTGCCTATTTACACAGTATTGTTTTGGTCACTGAGGAAAGCATCTACCTTATCCAGGGATACTCAGGATTTATAATGCAGTGTGAGCTGGGAGAGCTAGCAAACTGCTGTAAAGGGTAGCATTATGTGATATAAATATATGCACTTGCAGCATTATGCCATCGTTCCCTGAATTCCACATTAATAATCTTAAAAGAATTCAGGCCATTTGAACAATGCTTTAGTGCCGTAGAAGCCACTGAAGTGAGTGTCTTTCCCTTCAAGAAAATTTTATGCTTTGGAAGCACAAGATCATTTGGAGGGATCATTCTACAAACTTATCTTTCCAACTCTTGGAAATATTAATGCTGGGACTACAATTCCTCAGATTTCTACGCAGACTCAGGAGTAGAGGGACTGGAGCAGTTTGCCATCCAAAAAAGGTTCCTATTGTGTTACCAGAAAAGTTTGGGAAAGACAAAGCCTAGAGCTTCCATACCATTCTAGTAGTGTCATGAACAGCCCTAAGAGCAACTCTGAGCTTTAATTATATGTGTAAATAAATACAGGAAGGGCAAAAGAATCAGGCTTCCTGTATTCATGTATATTATTAACTTCCAAAGTCAAAACTCTTCTTATACACCCTCCCCAGGGGGACGAACATCTCCTCTAACAACTTAAGAACCATAAACATTTTGATGCTCAAACTTCCTGTATTTGCATTGATGTCTGAAAATGCTCTTCGAGATCCTAACCAGAGCACTATGTTCACATTCCTTTATTTAGTCTCATATTTCAGGAGATACATCTGTTTCCTCAATAAATGTTTGACTACTCCCTCTTCCTGTCATTCAGCTGCTTACAATATCCTATGGGGGAGACAGACTGAGAATTCTGTAGGAGAGTTGGATGCAAATATAGAAAACTGACCAGCATCCAGATGAAGCCAACCCAGACAAAGCCAGAGGCATGTCTTCAAATAGGTAGGTCCAAGTAGGTCATGCCAGCCAACACATGCCCATGGCATATCAGTTGCTGAACCAAATGCAGTAGTATCATCTAGTTTGAGTCTTTGTTTCTTCCAGAACTAAAATAGATTTTCTGTGGACATCGCCCAACGGGAAATGGACCCTAATTATAAAATAACATTGCCCTATTTAGCTTATGTAATAATTCATGGACCTCAGAACATGGTGAGATGTAGTTCTATCCAAGACTAGAGTTAGCTGAGTGGGCTTCCAGACAATGCCAAAATCTGTATTTTAAATGCGGGGTGGGGTTAAAAATCCTGGGGCCTGACTGCAGGTCCCCAAACAGACTGTCAGTCCCGGGATTGGGTTCTCTGCCATCCTCACAAGCTTCCTCTGTATTGGAATAAGATGGAGGGCAGATGGGTGACATCTAGTGGAAGGTGGTTTTTAAAAATTCACTCTGTTATGCGCTGGATAATATATGCACACATGTAAATATCTTAATATAAATATAAGCAGATTTGTATGTGCACATGTGAGGTCCAGGGCATAACAGGTACAGGGTGAGGCAGCATAACTTCCTTTTTTCAAAACTTAATAAAACCCATTGTATGAATCAGAATTTTTTATTTTTTTTATAATGTAGGCACATACCTAAAGTTTTGTTTTACGTAGTTTTGAAGATCAAATTATGTAGGTGACATCTCCCATTCTCCATTCACTGAGTAAACTGATTTCTGGCATTTGTCATGACTCTTGCCAACATAGCAGGCATTATGTTGGCAATTTCTTCCTGGATGTTGGTCTTCAAATCTTGTAGGTTCCTTGGATGGTTCACATAAACATGCGATTTCAAAAAACCCCATAGAAAAAAATCACAAGGGGCCAAATCTGGAGAGCGGGCCGGCCACTCCAAATCTGCTCGAAAAGTAGGCCTCAACGGCAAAAGCACACTCCTCACTATTCCAATGCATGATGGCGACTGAACTGTGTCAGGACAAAACTTTATCCTCCCGCCTCTCGAATGAGACCACTAGTGCTCCGCTACGTCTTCAACCGACTGAATGGCGCGCATTTTAAAAAAGGAAGTTATGCTGCCTCACCCTGTATCTTTTTTTTAAAAAAATAAACTTCCACCAGATCTGTCTCGCTTTCTCAATTGTTAATTCAAGCTCTGTTTAATATTATAAAGTTTAAAATAGTTTCAGAAAGTTCTAATTGCTCTCTGTTTGTGCTTCCTTTAAACCAGCTGTTTGTCCATTTCACAGCCCAATCAGCTCATCAGCAGTTTTGGGCTTTTTTAAAAGCACAAGTGTGCTGGAGCAATCTCCACAGGGTGAAGGAAGAAAATCACATGTTTTTCGTGAGTCCAGGGATATACAATGATAAGAATATGCACATTTTCTGGCCTGAATCGGGATATGACTGGCCCTTTTTAACACATTTTTTTGCCTGTTACAGCAAATCAGCACAAATTTACTACTAGTGTCATTTAGCCGCCACCTCCCCCCCACCCCCTTTTAACTTCCACATTTTAGGTGCTGTGGAGAAGGGCCCTAAGTTGAGCCTTTGCCCTGAAACAAATTGCCCCCTTCCTGTGTAGATGGATTATCAATCAGAATGGTTTTAATGAATGATACTGAGATTGTTACCACCTTTAATTTTAATGCTGATGGTAATTGTAATTGCTTTAAAATGTAATGAATTGTGTTGTCATTGTTTTATAAAAACACACCTGCAAGAAATCAAAATTAATAATGACTGGTTTGCCAATATGGAGTCCTGCAACCTTAAAAATAGTTCTTGACCACCTACAATAATTTATTAAAATATTAGTTTATCACCTCTCGGCCCTCCAGAAACCCCAAGTCATTGCAAAATAGAGACAAACATATAAGAACATTCCATAAAACACACACACAATTCAAATTGTCTCTTTAGCCAACACTGGTTGTAAAGATGAAAAGGTCATATAAACAGTGCAACCTTGTCTGGTTGCCAGAAACTTTAATGGAATGGAATAAGTCCCACCACCCTTGGGATGGCATTCCTCCATCCAGGCATCACTACTAAGCAAGCCCTGTCTGACCAACCTAGCATACAGGAGAAGAACAGTAATTATATTAAGAACCACAGCCCTATATTTTGTCTGAAATGTTGCCATCACTAGTTAAGATGGTATTGAAGTTGGTTTTTATAATTTCAAAGAGAAAATGCTCAATCATGTCTTCTCACACCAACCTATGGTGCAATCTGCATTTTAATTAAGTTTGAAATCTCATGTATTATTTCCTAAATCTAGATATCACTGCATTGCTTCCAGGGAAAAACACATAAGATTTAACTATCCATACCGATACTACTATCTCTATGCAGCTTTTATACTGCAATCTTTGACATACTTACTAGAGAGCAGATCCACTCAGTTCAGAAGGACTTAGATATAAGCCTGCTAAAATGTGTACTAAGAAGCCTGGTTTGGTCTAAACATATCAAGGGTGTCTGATAAAATGGGTTAGAGTTCACAAATAAAATTACTTTGTTTTAAGGTATTCAGTATGTGGATTAACACGTAGGGACCATGGAAATACTTTTAAGGGAGGTTTTAACATTGGCAGGTTGATTGGCATTAATCAACATGCAAGGCATACCAAATTATTTGTCTCATTCATTAACACTGAAAAACTTTCAATGTGAAGACTTTCAACCATAATGTCCATACAAAAGTGATGCTTACTTCCAAGTAAGTTTGTAGGACT